TCTGGACAAGACTGGTGTTGACTACCATTTGCAGCAACTTTCAACAAAGCAATATATTAACCTTTTCCATGCTCACTTTTTAGAATGGAAAGACTGCATATCTTATTCTTGTATTTGATTTGCATGTGTTCATTCTCTGTGGCTGTGATGGCAAACCTATAGAAAGCATGCCACAAGTGGCACACAGAGCCATTTGTGTGGGCACATGAGCCCCAGCCAAACTTACCTGCTCTGTGCATGTGTGCACCTCCCAGCTGATTTTCAGCCTGTTTGAGGCCTTTTTTGCCCTCCCGGGGGTTCGAGGGAAGCACCTGCAGCCTTTGGAGGCCAAAAAATGGGCCTTCTCGAAATACTGGAAGTGACGAAACCAGAAGTGCCTAAACTGGCCCATTTTTTGGCCTCCAAAGGCTGCAGAGGCTTTCTTCAAGCCCCTGGGAGGGCGAAAACGGCCGCAAATGGGCCAAAAATCAGCTGGGAGGTGCACGCATGCAGGGCAAATAAGGGGGGTTGCACATGCATGCGCAGGGGACGGGGTACATCGCATGGTGGATGCTGGCCTGCATGCGTGCACTATCATACGTGTGTGTGCTTTCGGCACACCACAACAAAAAGTTTCCCCATCACTGCTCTATGGTATTAATGACCCTTGTTAACTGCTTTGATTCTCAACTTAATCCTACAAAAAGGAGGATTGTCATATAAATGGCATTCAAAGCATGCTGTTTAGGTTCTCTTTTTTTACTTTGCCAGGCACATCCTATGCTTTTACAGTTAGTTTACAGAATTAGGCATCATCTAATAGTTGTGTTCTAAATTTAGCCAATGATTTTTGATGTCTAAATACTATTGCCAGTTGAATTCTAGTGTATAATGAGAAAGGAATAATTATAGGAGAACTTAAATGTAACTGTTCTAAGGAAAAACAGACTAAGTATTGTGTCGGGATTTGCTTTTAACTACCTTTTATCTGGAAAATTACTCCATCTACATCTTCACACATCTAAGTGGGAGGATGATAGGACACAAATCCATGAAAATATTAAATTTCCTCATAGGATATCATCACAAATGTGGCATGAGTCAGATCACTACCCACTGACAACCATGTATATATGTAGAAGGCTTCAATGCATAGTTTGGAGCGTATGCTTCAATTGGTGCCGCATCATTTCTTCCCATCTTCGCTGAATTAACTATATGCTGAGTGGCATGACTCACATATTAATTGTAAGATTACTTCCTTCTCCCCGTCCCCCTCCTCCTCCTCCTCCTCCTCCTCTGTATTTGCTTTCTATTCTTTTACTTTTGTGTGGCAAGATACTAAGCCACTAGTGCAAGAAATTGCCAAGTAAATTATTCCTTGGATAGTATAAGCATTTCTGGAGTGAAAGTAGTATTATCCCTGCTATTGCAACAGAAGATCCCATAGGTAGAGTTTATGGCCCACAGAGGAGGAGCAATGAGCTAGGCTCCATCTTGTCTGGTGAGCCTGTTGTGGAATCATCCATGGTCAGTGGACTCCTTTTCTTCAAGGTTCTTTCAACTACGATTAGGAGAAATACCAAACATTTTAGCTGCACAACTTATTTTTGTGGTAATGGTGATGGAGAGGGGATAATTAATTTCATATAATAAGACTGAAATGCTGGTCTAGAAGGGGGTGGCTATTTTCCCCAATGAATATTATACTGTAAAATTAGTGAGTAACAGAGTTGGAAGGGACCTTGGAAGTTTTCTAGTCCAACCGCCTGCTCAGGCAGGAAACGCTATACAATTTCAGACAAATGGTTGTCCAATCTCTTCGTTAAAACCTCCAGTGTTGGAGCATTCACAACCTCTGGAGGCAAGCCATTCCCCTGATTAAATGTTCTGTCAGGAAATTTATCCTTAGATGTAGGTTGGTTCTCTCCTTAACTAGCTTCCATCCATTGCTTCTTGTCCTAGTGCTTTCTTCTGAATACAATATATGAGCTATAGTTGACAACTGAAAAAGATCTTCCTTGACAAATGCCACTGAATAAAATTATTTTTACCATGTACAGTAGTTATATTTAGTTTGTGACCATTCTGTATAGAAAACAATCTATAACTGTTAGTGGAAACAGTCTGATCAGAAATGTACCAGCTTTTTCAACAATCCTGCAGCAGCTCTTAAAACAAATTTTCTGGATCTCGTTTAATAAATTTTATTCAACTTTTTGATAACTGCTTTTTCTGGATCCAAAAACACAATGGTCAGGGATGTGGATCAAGAAATTGATTAGACAATTTCCTTGTTTCTTCCTTGTTAAATATAAAATAATTCTCAGTGAAGTGAACCTGCCACACTAGAAATGTTGAAAGAACATTTTTGTATTCATGGGAATGACTGGTGGCAAGATAGGCTGGAAGACAAAAGGCTGACAAGGAACCCACCAATCATTGTCCTACAGTATTTTATATTTCATTAGAGTAGCAGCACTAACCAGTCTCATTCTCAAGGCAAAGAAAAAGTAGAGCGCTTTATATTGATACATTTTCCTCCTATCTCAAAGAAAGCATATCACAGTCGTTGGTGGATGAGCCCATAGAACGTGTTCAGAATTGTTCGATAAAATCTCATTCCCAAATACTGAAATATCGAATACTCTACGAAGCATTTAGTAGAGAGTCTTCCAGAATCGCTGAAAGAGTTGGTGACATTTCTGATCAGAGTGTTTCCACTGTAAGAATCTTATAGTGAAGATTACTGTTTTTGCAACTGTCAAGTAGAGCTGAAGGTCATTCCTCAACATTAAGAACATGTTTGATATAGCAGTTGGACTATTTCCTGGCAAGCTATCCTTTTATTAAATGACTCTGTTTCTCTTTTTTCTTGTGGATGGATAATTTGCTTGAGTCATCTGGCCTTTTAAAAAGATAAAGGCATTATTCATCATTTCTGCTCTTTTCTTCTGCCCTCTAAGTCTACACAATGTGGGATAGTATATTGTTTGAACTGAGTTTTAAGATGTTCTTACAGAATAGATTACTTCTACCATTTATTACTTTTCTATAAAGTTGGAAAGCAACTGCTTTCCAAATTTGCTGGATTCAATACCTAGAATTCTCACTCTATCTGGGCCAAACCATGGGTTTGTAAACTTTCGGACCATGGAACCTGTTAAAACAGGAAAAATCCCAGAACTGATCTAGAAGCAGTGATGGACAACAACTGCATTCAAATTAACTTTTTGTTATCTAAGTCTCCTATGGAAACCTATAAAATTCATTGCCTTGCACTGGACAAAACAAAGGTGGGATATAAATCTAATAAATAATTCTTGTGGAACCCTTGGAAGAAGCCTTGATCCAAACAATAATCCATTTAGTGGTGTTGAGTTTGTGAAATCCACATCTTGTATGCATGTACGATAGTATGCTATTGAGGACACAAGAAATCAAAACTATTTCAAGGGTGCTATGGGTTGCTTCCAAGTCTAGCTACCCGAGTCTTGTTTCCTTATTCCCTCCATCACACTAACATGGGAAACTAGAGATATTAAAATACATGATTATGTATGCTGCTGATGACAAGAAATGATTGACTTCTGACCATACAAGATTTGTGTTATTTCTACCAATATCACCTTGCACAACAGAGTATCTAATAACTCTTGTGCAGTAGCAGAAAGTGGTAACCTATGGTCAGTCTGCGTATTTATTTCTTTGTTGCAGTTGGCATTCAATCTAGTGTTCAATCTACTCTAGTAACTGGATTAAACAACTTTTACTGTGCAAATCCAACATGTTGAACTGGAATCTAGGAGATCTAGGTTCAAGTTTACAGACGCTCACAATACTCCTTCAGTACTCCTGGTTGGTTTCTTCAGCCCAGCTTACAAGAGAGTTTAAAGTTTTCAGTAGCCTTCCTATGACCTCCTAGTTGGGGTCTATGACAATTCGACAAGGCCAACTCGCCATGACCAAGTCACCACGGCTAACTCATCATAGCCAACTTGCCATGGCCAACTCACTGCAGCATAACATGCCATGGCCATCTTGACACAGGACAACTCGCTGTGGGATAAGAGTTACACTCATATCAAAGAAATGGTGGAATAGAATCATTAAAGATGTAAAAGGAGGGATAGAATGAAATGTAAATGTCAAAAATTAAAATATTTTTTATTTATTTTAAATAATTAAATAGAATTGTTAAATTGACCCTGACAAGTTGTCCCGCTGCGAGCTGACCCTGACAAGTTGTCCTGCAGTGAGTTGGCTGTGGCAAGTTGTTCCATTCTTTCCTAGTTATGTGTCTGTGTCTCTTTGAAAAATCCTCGTATCACCTATTACATTTCACATTTTTTTCTATTAGAACCCAAAGTGTTAAACCGCTTGTTATAACTCTTTGATCCCCATCTTCAGGGAAATTGTTTTGAAGGGCAGCGTAAATAAATATTTAAGAACGAATAACAGTGTTACTCGCTCGGTTTTACTTCACGTGTATACTCATCTATCTGCTGCTCTGCAACACAGGCTCTATATACACCTCTATTACCCAACTCAACGTAGGTACGAGTAGCTGGTCAGATGCGTACATGCAAAGCCAGCGGGATTATTATTTCTATGATGGGTTTAAGTCGAGAAACGAAAACCTGGCTCATTTCTCCTAAGGGCGGCATACTGCTTTGTAAAGAACCGGTATTCCGGTATCCTTTTAAAGAGAGCTGGTAAGCTCGGCGTCCTTTCTGAGCACACCCACGCGCGTTGCCATCCCTTTAGCCACAGATCCGCTGAAAAGGAGGAGGGGAAAGGGCCTCGCTTGCTCTCCCTCGGCTCGGGGGGAGGATGACTTAGCATTGAATCCGACTCAGGCAGGCAGGCAGGCAGGCTGGCTCTACGCTTCCAGGTCTTGGCACAGGCCGGCCGGCCTTCACCGAGCAAGACGGGTGGGCGGGAGCACCCGCGAGGCGTTGAGGGAGGGCGAGACTGCACAGCCACGGAAGGGAGGAGGGAAGAAGAAGGGGAAAGGGCCCAGGAAAGCTGCCTTGAGGAGACGGCACACGCGCCGCCGCCTTTTCGCGGGACTCGAGTCTGCTTCGCGAAAAGAAAGCGGGCGACGACGACGACGACGCCTTTCCTTCGGAGCAGCTCGCCGCCACTTTCTTCCCTCCACACCTCCCGCGTCCGCATTTTCCTACTGCGGCGCGCCCCGAGCTCAGTTAAAACTCAGGTGGGTTCTCTCTCCCCTGCCGCCGCTCTCTTTCCAGGGGCTTTGCGCGGGGGGTACCGGGCAAGGTAGGTGGGTGGGCGGCGAGATTCCTTTCCCTTGGTTTATCTGACCCTGCTCAGGGGAAGGTTAGGATTGAAACGACCAAGGGGGATGTTGCCACGGTTCGCCCCACGTCCAGTCCTTCCCCCCCCCACACCCGTCAGAGGGGCTGCCGGCTGCAGCAGCTGGAGGGAGGACGCCTGGATGCGGATAACGGAAGCGTCGTATCGCCGCAAAGCAGCACCGAGCCGGGTCTGGAGGCCGTTTGCCGACTTTGTGACAATGGCCGTGTGCGGACGAGGGTGGGAAACAGAACTGCACGCAGGCCGGACAGCCAGACAACTGCGGGGCTCCGGTTCCCGTTGGGGTAGGCGGGGGTACAAGCTGTTAAGGTTAGCTCCTGCCCCCCCCCCATGTCCACACCCATCAGCCCGACCTAGGGAAGAGGCAGGAGGGTCTGCGATTCTTGGGCGCACGTTGTTGACTGCGGGGGAAGGGTGGTTTTGTGCGGGCACGCGGGTCTGGGAGACCACGGGAAAGTGCGGGTTTGTAGTTCTCTTCCCATACAGTACTTGCATGCTCGTGGGTGCCAATAGAAATAACGCTGCATTTTAAAACATAGCCTACTTTTAAAAACAACAACAACAGGATAATATGTGCCCTTAATTCTCTCATGTTGCAAATGGATAAATAATATGAGGGCAAAGAGGTCCCCCCTCCCCCCGTTTTTGCAGGCAGTGCTCCGTCCCCTGCATAGCAGGAGCTGCTCTGCATTAACGATGTCATCAGAGAAGCCGGGCCTGCCTGGGAAGGGTACTTTTCCTTGCATAATTTGGGGGGCGGGGGGGGGGGGCGGCAGAAGCTGCATGCTTCAAGGGCTGTGCTATGATAAACCTATAAATGAAGCTTAAAAACTTGGAACTGACATCAGGGCATGATGTTATATAACTCAGTGGTGCTGAAATGAAAGGGCTTGTAAAGATCTGTTTGTGTTATCAGGAAAAAAAAAACAAGAGGTTTTCCCTTTACCTACTGTATCATTTTGAAATATGTGGCAAATGAAATGTTCCTGTGTGTTGGAGAACAGGAGTCCCAAGTTTTGATACCCGCAGACATATTAAAGTAACTTGTTAGTCTCTCTCTTAAATTTCAATTAATGAGAGAAATTTATTTTACTTTTAATTTGCTTAAAGTTGTACAAAACATTAGTATTTCACATGTTTTAAAATGTTTTACCAGTGCTACTGGTAATATGCTGTGGGGTAATATTAAATATTTCTACCAGGTTAGAGCAATATGCTAACGTAACAAGAATATTTGTGTTGTATTTTTCATAGTAAAACACATTTCCAAGGTCATACAACAGCCTGCAGTGTAGCTTTCATTTAGCAATTTGTCATCTGTAAGATAAGGTGCCGGACCCACCTTGGAAGATTATATTTACAGTGGTTCTTGAATGGAGTCTGGAAAAATTGAAATACTTTATAACTTACTTGCCACATATTTTTAGAAATATTGGCAGTAAGGTGCTAAAAACTGCTAAATTGACTATTAAAAACCACAGTAGTGGAACTCTAGTGAAAATCTAGCAGGTAATTACAAGACTGATAAATGCTGTTATTCTCTAAGTGGTTAGCAACAGGATGCCACTAGCTAAAAGATAAAGCAGTTCTTAGAAGCATGTATCTCTTTGGCTTGGTTTGAATAGTTGTATAACATATGTATATAGGTTATATATTTGCTCATATTTCCAAAATACGTTAATGTTATTTTACTGATAATATCCTTGACTTTCAGAAACTGAATTGGAACAGGGAGGGAGCAGATTAAAATGAAGTTGCCAAATAATTTTATTTCAGGATAAATTGACGCAAGTAAGAAATTTAAATGTACATTGTGGTTCTCTGCCGGGGGGGTTAAAAAGAACAACAAAACTATGTGCTGTGGAGGAGAATGGGAATGAAAACACTGCTACCACAGTTTCTCTGTATCCATTCATCTATAACATTTTTAGGTGATTGTAGCATGACTCCCTTCCATAATAGAGCAAATGCTCCAATCTACCTTAGGAGTTTACAAGAAAGATGCACAATGTATGATGCTGCCCACAGAGTTTTTGGTGCTGTCATTGCAGGGAAGCGAAAATGTTGCTGCTTAATTGCATTTTAATGGTCTTTGTGATGGAATGACTTTTTACAAGCTATACATATATTTGTTTGATTAAAATGTTTTTCTTCTGAGCATTATTTCCAATGTTAGCTATTAATATTTGTTCACATGTATAATTATAATTATTAATACGTGTTTAAATTATATGCCGGTGTGAGAATTATAATTTAAAATAAGTAGACTAGATCTTTTCTAAACCATATGTAAGCATATTAACCCACTTGCAGAATGTACGCAGAAGTTAAAATTTAATTTTGTATGAATGCTTTTAGAATATGTTACTAGAATGAGAACATGATTAAAAATACATTAAAAACATAACTCGTTAAAAAATTAAAACAAAAACAAAAATACCAAACTGAAGCTAAAATCAGTTGAAGTTGTTGGAACAACATTTTATATTGTTGTTTTCATTTGAGAGATACATGTGTAATTTCTTATACATGAACTGAAATCTATCTGGCTGTCTGTCTGTCTATTAGAGTTGTATGTGAGTTAATGGAAAGGCCAAAATGTCACCTATTTATTTATATTTATATATTTATTTTATTAGATTTGTGTTCTACCTTGCCTTTTAGGAATGCCAGTTTGATACATAATAATGGTTAAAGCTATTGGGGGGCTGGAAGCTTTAGGTACAAAGAAAACCAATTCTGAAAATCTTGTCAAGAAAATTGCATGGACTCATTCCTGCATTTACCAGGAATCAAGAGTGACTTAATCAACCATTACAATTTCCTTCAGGAGCTGAAGATGCATGCATAGTGCTTCCTCTCCATTTTTCTCTACAACAGTCTTGTAAGGTAGGTTGGGCTGAGGGACAGCGAGTAGCCCAAGTCCAGTTTGTGCACAATGCAGAAGAAAAACTTTTAACACTAATTGTTCTTAAAATGCAACTGCGTTTGATTTCTAGCTTTAATGTTCCACTGATTGCAGTAGCATTTTGGAAACTTTTTTTTGCCCAATATTTTATTATGTTCAGAACTCTGAGACTAACTAAATTTAGATTAGATTATTTCTTTTATCATAAACTAGTTTACTTTGTAGGTTAGAGAACATTTATGATAGCATCATTCTCCTACTTTAATTAATGCAATTTATACATTACTTTTTATGAAACAACACCAGATTTTTTTAGTATTGAGAATGCAGTAAAAACTTGACTGTAAAGTAATTAAGGGTACAGAATAATTAGGAACAAAATAATTAAGTCAGGTAAAAGAAAAAGCAACTTTGGAATGGTGAATGGATAATACTAGAGAAAATAGCTCTTCCTTGGTCCCTCTCCATCTTGCTTCCTCTGATTAGAACATTAGGCCTAAAGATTTGCGATTCCCATCCCATGTGCCACTGCTTCCTGTACCTGGCTGTGAACCTGTACAATTGTGTAATTCATTGCTTTGCATATTGATGATCTCAAATTCATCCCTGGCATTTCTGCATTGAACTAGAAAACTGCCTGCCTAAAACCCTGACATGCCAGTTGTAGTCAATGTCAAGTAGACTGGGGCAGCAAGCACCTTATGTTCCTATAGCAGAATTATGATCTGTGGCATTGCAGGTATGCGGGATGAGCAATGAGGCTTTGACTCTGTAGACTTCCCAAGTGCTACTTAGCTGAGCAGATAATGGAAATAATATTTCAGAAGTGAAGCTTATGGATTCCCAAGCTTTAAAGAAACAGATCAAAAGCACACTTTTTCTGTATTTCTGTAATTACTGTAATTTGTTCTATCATTCATGACAAATGGACAACACTTGTATGTTGTTTGCAAAAAGAGATGGGTGGAGGATTTTGGAGTGGATGGGTTATTCCATTATGGTAACCTACCTGCATATTAACAGCAACATAAGCTTTGATGTCAGAAACAGGCTGAAAAATACTCCACAAGTATTTGGGTTTCTTCAAAGTGCAGGAACTGAAAGTGATCCCCAACTCTAGCAGGAAAATGATTCCATACAGCAGGTTCTGCGGTAATTGTTACAGTTACTTTATGTTTCCTTGCTGAAAGCTTTGTAAATATGAGCTTTAACTCTCCTGTAAATGGAATTTCAGTGTTTCAGACTGGATAAAACAGAATATATAGCCCCCTTTTCCTTCCCCGATATATTTTCTCTGCCCTATAACATATCAGCACTATCCTAGACTAATGTCTCGTGTTCCAGAACTCTTCTTCCCACTGCAATCTATGTGGCCAGAAGAAAACAGTCAAACTAATTTTTTGGAGCACAAAATACTCCATGTGACTTGTGCTAATACATAAAAGTGTACTATGTTTTAATTTTAGAGGTACATTCCTCTGATAAAAGATTGAGATTAATGCTGAAGGCAGTAAAACTCATGATTGAAAGGGAGCTACTTTTGTTGAGGCAATTGATCCTGCTTTTAATATGAGAATTGTTTTGATTTACAAATCAACAAGAGGTATTAAGATGTTGGATTCTGCTGTTTAAATAAAAATACATGTGGATTAGAATTTATTGTGAGGGATTGGGCTAGGGACTTTATTTGGAAGTAAGCATGGTACATAATAAAATCTCTATTATACAGTACATTCTCCCAGAGTTGAGGATTAATGCTTAAGAGTTCTTCACAGACCACTTTAGTTTTTACTGTGGTAAATTCAATCTAGTATCCTGTGCAGACTTCATAATTTCATAATATCATGCAATGTATTTTCCTTTCAAATATATTCTATGCAGTGAGAATATCTGAGCTTTCTTGCTTGAGTTTGAATTAAATTCCACAGGTTGCAAAACATATTCACTTGAAAATATGTGTATTTGAGCCA